TGGTCTTAGCTTTGGACATGTAAAGTAAGATTGTAATGATTGCCCTTTCGGATTACCCGCCGGGCGTTAATAAATATCTATCTATCTATCTATGTTTTCTAAGTATCTTTGTACCTTGCTCAGTGTGCTCAGTGGTCTTGGCCACTGATCAGACTGAGCACTTCCTGACTGGTTGTACGGGGACTTGCGTGTCTTCTCATCCCCGGCCCAATGATTGGATGAGGTGTCTCGGCACCTCGGGAACCACCCAGTGGTCCCTGCACGGAAGTATTACGCTTGGGGCGTAACACCTGAGTCACACATAGAAATCGATACAACCAACGTACTACTCCAGGATCTTCTTGCCTCTCCAGTCTGGGCAGTCATAGCCACTCCTTCAAGCATAAATACCGCCCATGTGCTTCAAACAGTCATTCTCTAATGCAAACAACAGTACCAGATACCATCAAATCACTTTCTGTTGGAAGAAACCGTCAGAAAGCACATTGAAGGTTTGATCGTCATCAAATAATTTAATTCAACGTTTCCATACTACATACACAGCGTGCATTCAACCACCAGTAAGTCCTACGCCAAAACAAAACAAAAGAAAAGAAAAAAGAAGAAAAAAGAAGAAAAAGGAAAAGAAAAGGAATGCGAAAAAAGTCCACTGTACTTAATCCTAAACTCTGTTCCCAATTCTAATCAGACACTGACGGACCATCAATCAGTGACCTTGACTATCTCAACCCAGCCAGTCAATCGTAGTGGAGGAGGAAACATATGCAGCAATTGTGGATTGAATTTTACCGGTGCTGCTGTCATTTGCAGGTGTAATGAAAAAGATCAATCCGATGATGAGGATAAGAAAATTGAGTTTTAAGGGTCAGAGCTATGGACGGTATGAGAGTCTTTCCCCTTCTTAAAGATCATCCTAAGTAGATACTTTTAATAACTCCCCTTCAATATATCCCCCCCTCACGCACTTTTGTTCTCAACAAACCACCTCGTAGCCCTCTCCAACCCTCGGCCTATACCCCAACCTCTTCTTCGCCTTCTCACACTTTAAGGTCCTATCAATCGTAACAAACTTAATCGCATCCCAAGTCATCTTTGGCCTTCCTTTCCCAAACGTAATCAACCAAGTGATCCATTCAGCAAAACTCCCCATCAACCCAAAACACTACTGGAAAAAACCATTCATGTCAGCTTCCACCCTCTGCGACGGCCCACATCTCCCAATGTCAAACATTTTATTGCAACTCCTCATTGTTCTTTTTACTTGCTACACCATATACACATTACTTACTCTCATCATCAGTCTCGGCTCTCTCCACGTCCCCATCATCCATTTGAGCAATGAGGCCGAGGAACTTCTCGGTGGCATAGCTGCCCTCGGGTTCTTTTGGACATTTCGTACAAATGGCGATTCACCATGATGATGGCTTCGTTTCATCATCTTGTTTCTTATCATCCATCCATCCCCAACAAACGCCACAAACTCCACCACAACCAGTTCTTCCCACTGAAAAGACCACATGATGACAATTTATTCAAGATTCCGGTCTCTTGCTTTCCAACCAAGTTAATAACAGTCCCCGTAGCGCAATGGTTAGCACCTAAAATGACTTTAGCGTTTTGATTTATATCCGAACTACCTAAGGCACCAGCAGACATCGGTTCGAATCCGACCGGGGACAATGATCTTTTTTTTTTTTTAGTTCTTTTCTGCTTTCTTTATAAGCATCTACATAACCCCCTCTAGTCTCCGCTACTCCTCCCCCTCAACCAAAGCACTAACCTCAACCTCAATCCTCATCCCTTGCAAAGCCAACCCAGCAACCTCCACAGCCGTCAAAAGAGGTCTATGTTGTTCTCCGCAGAACTTCTTCATTATTTCTCCAAGGACACTAATCCCTTCTTCTGTGGCGATTTCCTTTGTATAATATAAATTGACTTTATATACCTCTGTCCAACCTTTTCCTCCTGCAGATTTTAGGACAGTTTCGACGTTTGTGAATGCTTGGTTGATTTCTTCTTTTATGGAAGTGGGGATTTGGCCTGTTGATTGGTTCCATCCGCCTAGTTGAAAAGAGAGGTTAATATGAGGTCTCGAGAGAATTAAGGATTTTAGGAAATGGGTGACATGAAGGAGCAGGGAATGGGAGGGAAGAGACTAAAATACCTTGGCCTGAGGTATGGATTTTATTGTTTAGACGGAGGGATTGGGAGTAATGGGAATGGGTACTGAGGCCTTCTGTGAAGCCAGGGTAGGTGAAGAATTTCATTTTGGGTTGAGTGAATTTGTTTGGAATTTTCAGGTTGTTTGTGTGTCTGTGACTGGAAGGATAGAGAATGGTGTGAATGGTTTGCCATTGAAGAGGTTTATATAGATCTGTTGTTTCCGAGTGAGAGAAGTGAATTAATAATGTTTGGAAGACAAAAGCATGATTATTAATGCATGTAGAAAAGCCAAGCTTCCTTATGGTAGCCAAGACATAGACGAGTTGGTATTGTTTGTGTTGGTGATGATACATTTGACAAACTTAGACAAAAGACAGTATCCGTATGGGTTTTATTGTATGATATAGTGGAATTATACATTGTCCTCGTAGAGTTGATGCACAAATTGGCATGTGTAAAATGTAAAGTTGCTCCACCACTCTCCTGCCCAGCCTCACTACTACCTATTACAGTTTGACCTGTGGTGTCAATTCTCTGTGTTGATGCAATACCCAAGGTCCAACTGCCAATGGCCTGCCATCGACACGATCCGTGCATTGACATTAATGAGAGATCAAGTTAGCCGAATTCACACAGGAAGCGGAGATGTCGTCCTGGCAGCGACGCAACAACACCGGCTGGACATCCTCAAAGTGATGGTTTCCGCAGTCCTCGATGGCTTGCATGCCAGGTCCGACCTGTGGCGCATGATATCGATTTTATAGGCGAGGGTGGCATATAATGCTGGTTTCGGTAATCACTCCCAACCAAATCAATGAATGGGAGCCAGGCTTCTGCAAGTTGAGGTAATTGAGTGGTCAATTTGTAACCTTGCATAAGGTTGAAACTTCTTTCTTCCAGCCGCTTAGAGTTCACTCGTTCGAATCCTACAGTTGTTTTGGTGCCTGTGGTGATTTGATTTGGTGTTTTTATATATATATATATATATATATATAAAAGAATACTTATTTTTTCCAAAATGCTTTTGTTTTTCAATTTTCTTTTTTCTCCCGCTCTTCCTTGTGTTTTTCTCCTTTGTCTTTTGCAAATTATCTTTTCTTCATTCATCAATCAAGCACAATAAACGCAGGTTTCTTTTTCAAGCTAACAAAATCATCTTCATATTAAATTCATTTTTGTCGGTCCATCTCGTCACATCCGATTCGCTTGAGATAATGAATGAGTACCGTCAGAGCTCTCTTTTGTCTTCACAGCCAGAACTGAAAGGCTCAGACCTGCCCGATGAGGCGAGTCAAGGTTCAGAGGTTAAGGTAAATTGCAAAACTCATCATGGACCAAGAACTCTCCAGAGCAGTATAGCTTTTTAATCATCCGGTTGATGTGAGGATTGCACTTGCAGACCGAGGGGAGGGGAAAAGGGAAGACGTAAGGGGGGAAAAAAGGACGAAAATGGGTGTTAAAAAATATTTATTTTTTCTGAATAAAATTTTTGTTTGCATTGCTCTTTTTCGTAAATACAAATGTGGGTGTAATATTTAGTGATTTTGAGGTTGACGAAAAAAAAAAAAACAAAAAAAAAGTTGGAGTTGATGTTGGAAACCAAAGATCGCGTTGGATCTTGGACGCGTTTTAGTGTACAGGTTCGTCTTGGCACTTAAGATCCTTGTTAGAATGGTCCGTGCATCCACCTGTCACCCCAGATCCCAGTCTGCAAAGGTCTCACAAGCCAACTGACATCACGCAAGCCATCCAATGATTCGATCCAGCAAGGCTCGGGACGCCTGGAGCTCTGACACTGATAAAGAGCTCCAGGCACTCCCAACCCTGAACAAAGGAAAATAAGGATTCTTTTTCTTTTTATCACAACCATTTTTATTTTATTTTCAACTCCATGTCTAAAACAATAATTTATCCTCATCCAAATGGCAACAACTTCGAGTTCACCATCGCTGGACGATTCCCAACACGATGCCGCCGCTCCCGAGTTCAACGCCGATGATGTCCCCGTCGAAGTCCTCGTCAAACACCTTCTCGATGCCAAAACGGCCCTTGCATCATGGCAACTTGTCATGCGCGCCAACGATCTCGCGACCGAAGGAAGACGAATGCACGAGGAATCAGTAATCCTGACGGCCCAAACCGGGTTCCTACGTCAGGGCATCGCTGATCAGATTTCTATACTCAAACAAGTACGCCGAAGCATGCAGCGCGTCTACAAAGGCGGTCAAAAGGATTTCAAGATGATCGTCAAGAGCCTGGACGAAGCCGACGCAAGATTAAATGATACAATGCAAAAGTTGAGGGAGACAGTCGTCGAGCGGGTCTTTAGACCGCCAGAAGAAGAACCAAAGAGTTTGATGGATTTTGTGGACGAGAAAAGCGTCGAAGAAATTCACAATGCTCTGAAAGAAAGCATACGAGAATTACAGGTAGGTTGCAATCATCAAACGTCGCGCGCGTCTTTCTAATCCAATACCCAGAATGCACAAACATCATTCGACACTGACCTCCTCCGATTCGACAACGATCTCCGCACGCTCGAGAAAATCCTTAAATCCACGACTTCCAATTCACCCTCAGCCGCTTCCTCTTCTGAGCTCCCATACAAACCGATGCCACACCTCCTCGCCATCCTTACCAACCACTCACACGATATGGCGCAACATCTTCAATCCCTCAACAAACATTTTGACATGTGCGTAACAGCCGTTCGCTCGACTCAAGGCGGCGCCGCCCTTGCCAGACGCAGAGCAGCAGACATTACGCAAGACGACGGACATCCTTTATCCATTTCCAACGATATCACGGAGCAGGAATCACACCTAACAGGAGGGGACTTTGAACCGTTGATGGATCCACAAGAAAGAGCAGAAGTAGTGCAAGTAGTAGTCCAAGACGCATCAGAAGTGGACGAAGTGGTGACGGAATTACACGCCGTATTACAGCAGATGGAGATCGCATTTTCCAGTCTGAAAGAACAGGCAGATATTTTGAGAGCCCAATACGTTTCCACTGTCAATGGGTTTCAGGTTTTGGAGGATATAGGCGGGAAGCTCCAAAGTTACATTGAAGCAGAAGACGAGTTTGTGGACCGCTGGGAGACTGAGAGACAAACTATTTTTGAGACGATGGCGAGGATGGATGAGGCCAAAGAGACGTATGAAGGTTATTCAGCAGCGTATCATACTTTATTGATGGAGTTGGAGAGACGAAAGTCTGTAGAGGAGAAAATACAGAGCACTCTGAGGAAAGCGAAACAAACTGTTGATGGGATTTTGGAGGTTGATAGGAAGGAGAGAGAACATTTCACTCAGGAGATTGGGGATTATTTGCCTGCTGATTTATGGGTGGGAATGAATGAGGGATTGCCGAGGTGGGAGTTTGTGGCGGTTTTGGATGAACAGGAGAGGATGGAGCAGGAGCCGCGGACTCCGACGTTGAAGAATGTTGGGTTGGCTACGGGGAATTGAAGGCTGGGTATTGTGATTAACACGTTCCGTACAGCGTGATTCGAATATTGATACTGTTTTTGTACAGAATATTCTACTCCGGTGGTGTCCGGGGCATGAATCTGTCCGAATAAGTGGGTCTCACGGAGGAACAACGGGGATAAGTGGAGACCCGCGGATTCCGTTTTTGACATCAGCCCCTTTATCAAACACTTGATAACCAAACTTTTGTTTTGCTTTTTTCCAACAACTCTTTTCAACAATTTTTTTCACTCTCATCAAAATCCAAATCTCTGCTTTTAAGAAAAATGACCCAACCAACAGAAATCGAAATCCCCAAAACCCAACAAAAATGGACAACCACCTCCAATAAACTCCACCTCGATCAATACTCCCCTTTACCTTTTTCCGCATCTTCTCTCCCGTCAACGTCCCTTCTTATCCGCATCTCATACGCGGCTTTAAACCCCGTTGATTTATTTATCCTTAATCAAATCCCCTCTTGGCTTCCCTGGCGACGTAACCCAATTCCTTGTTTTGATTTCTCTGGGACTATTGTCTCTGTCGGTTCTTCTGTTCCTTCTCAGTTTAGTGTCGGTGTAAGAGTGGCTGGTGCATTGGGGATTAAACAAATATGGTTTGGAAAGGGTACACTGGTGGAATACTTGGAGGTGGGGTATGAAATGGTTTGTGGTTTGCCTGAGGGGATGGGTATGAGAGAGGGGGTTGGGGGGTTTGGGATTGCGGGACAGACTGCTGTTGAGATGGTTGGGAGGGCTGGTGATATAAGGGGGAGGAGAGTGTTGGTTTACGGAGCTAGTGGTGGGGTTGGAGGGTTTTTGACGCAGGTTTGTGTTGGGTTGGGGGCTGAGAGGGTTTGGGGGATTTGTTCGGGGGGGAATAGGAGGTTGGTGGAGGGGTTCGGCGCGGAGGTAAGTCTTTGTCGTCTTTGTTTTGGCGTCTTTTGGGGGTTGTTATTGAAAGGGTGTGATGCTGACACTGAGGGAAATAGGTGATCGATTACACTCAACACAAATACATAGAAGAACACCTGGCCCAGAAGTTTG